CGGATCCACCACAGCTGCATAGGAAGGTACCTTTTTACCAAGTTAGACCACTGGGCCCTCTTGCTCAGTACTGTCTACCTGAAGATGCCAGTGGGTCAACTTGGGGGCTTCTGCAAGCTGAACAGGTACTCTGTCTTTGAGTGGTAAGGTAAAGGTATTCCCCGTTGACAAGGCTGTCAAGTTATGTCCAACCATAGGGGTGGTGCTCATCTTGGTTACTAAGCCAAAGAGCCAGCGTTGTCAGAGACTCCTCTGTAATCCTATGGCCACCATGACTGCACAGAACACTGTTTACCTTCCTACCAAAGTGGTACCTATCTATCTACTTGCATTTGCATGCTTTCGAACTGCTAGGTTGGCAGAAGCTGGGACTAGTGACAGGAGCCCATCCCATCATGCAGTACTTGGGCCTTGAACTGACAACCTGCCAATCTTGCCATCAACAATTAACCACTTGAGCCACTGCATTCCACTACGGTACCCTTATCAGCCCCTTTTGCCAGTCTTCTGGTGAGGTGCCACCTTCTCAGCCCAGTCTTGTTCGTAGGCCTGAGAAGTAAAGGCCTGACCTGTAACATATTACTCTGGGGCAGGGGAGGGTACCTAGAGTAGTATAACCACAGCCCTTCAAACTTCAAAATGTAATTGCTGGTAACATAATTACTTATTTTCCATGTAAAGAGTAATGTATATTTTTTTAGTATATAGAGAGCTCTTGTAGCACCTTTGAGACTAACTGAAAGAAAGAAATTGGCAGCATGAGCTTTCATAGACTTCAGTCTACTTCCTTATTACTTCTGGAGTACTAAAAATGATTTCTTGGGGCATTTTTAAGGGTTTTTTCTTTACAATGGTAGACCATTTCTTGCTTCTTCTTTTTTTAAAGTAGATTTTCTTTTTTTAAAGGGCAACTGAGCAGTAACAAGGATGGATGCATGGATCCTTGGATGAATGGATGGAGATACATATATACCCAATTACAGCTGGTCCTCTATATCTAGATTTTTTTATTCACAGATTCAACCATCCATGGCTTGAAAATATTCAAAAGTAATATAAATTCCAAAA